GGATTAGGATTAGGATTAGGATTGTTACAGCGTCCCGCGGTCGCCCGCTCCTGGAGCCATCCAGGCTCATGGGATTGTACAGTAAAGCACCGGCCTCGGGCACTTCATCTGCATCACCAGCGGCGAAGCAAGCCTCATATTCCGCGCACGCACCACCACGCTGGACGGCCCGCGCGGCCCGGTTGGCCAGTGCATGGTCCCACGCAAGCAGTTCCCATCCCCCTAGCAGCCTGGGAGATTAACCCCTTAGTCTGACTAGTACTGTCCCGTGACATGGAGTGGCAGGCAGCAAAGGTGCGGCAAGGCAGGCACGAGCGCGCAACACACACACACACACACACACACACACACACACACACACACACTGCCTCTGGTTATACAATCAGGTTTAGGATTGTCACAAATGCTGTACCCCGGATCGTATTGCTGGCCCTGTCCCTCCCTGCCACGACGCCATGCATCATGTTGCGGCCATAGTCATGCAGGTACTCGTGTGCGTGAATGCAGTTTGTCGTAAATTCCTATGCTGTCATTTGGCGGTTGCATTCTGCTGAGCTGGCATAGGTCCAGCATTCGCTGATGTTTGTTACCGCGTCTGCATACTCAGTAAACAGTAATCTGCGTGATCAGTCATGGTTGCACTGCGTTGGGTTGCCTGGCCATAGCCCGCGCCCGGCGCCCGTTGCGCACTGTCGCCCATTGTGCACGGCATGTTCGCTGTGCGAGGGGGTCTATGCATACTGGCATCTGCCAACCGACAGCTGCCAGGGGCCTCCAGATGGTGTCCTTCAGGGTGCAGATCTTACAGTGGGCCCGTGTTCGGCCCATGCGGGGGCCGCGCCACTGGCAGAAACCACAGAGCCAACGAGGAAGCCAAAGGACCGCGGCAGGAATGCCTGCGGTCCACCGAATGCAAGCAATCGTGGCGGCCTGGCTGCCGCCCAGCCGCCTTCTGGAAGCTGGCCGGAAGCCAGGCGTGCACTCGGAGCTGGCTGCACGCCGGAGCTCATTGCGCGTGCCATTTGCTGGACTCATGAAGAAGAAACTGCATGTAGCTGCAGCGACCACACAGCCCACCGCCCCCGCTCGCTTCAAAGGTGAGCAAGGCAAGCATGCAAGCATGCGTGCCATGCACGCAGCACCGACAGCAAGCACCACACCCACACGGTCGCGTCAAATGCGCCCCCGCCCGCGGTCGGCCGGCGGTGCATGTAGCCATCGCGCAGACGGTACATGGGCCCAAGAAGAGGACGGATGTGCAAAGTGATGTGCAACGCACAAGGGTCTACTCCCCTCTTAGTTCGTGCAGCGAAAGGGCCAAGTGCCCCATCCATCAATCCACGACTGCCAAGTGGCCCCACCGCAAAAGCCGCCACGTCAGTAAAACACAACTGGTCTTCCCCGTCTCGCAGCAATCTCCCCCATCGAGGAGCTCAAAGCGCAAGGCCCCACTTAAAAGAATGCGAAATTGCCAAGCCAACGACGCGGCGCTGTATGCCCACAAAGCCAACAACAGAGCAGTGGCTGTTAACCCATCCCATCCCGTGCCAAAACGCGTTCTGCACCGGGGACAAGATAGTGGCATGGAAGCCAACCACCCGGCCTGCAAGAAGTCATGCCAGTCAGGCGCGCAGGATGAATCCACTGCGTCCCATGGCCCCTGTGAAGCGAGAAGAGTGCAGGCCACTGCCAAAAGGCATCAGAACGGTTCAGACAGCCTATAAGAAGGGTGACTATGTCGTGGTATGGCAGCAGCCAGCCCAATGACTGGGCAGGTTGGAATTGAGGCAGGTTTTTCGTGCATTCATTAAGGCCAGCCGCGCGGGTTTTGGGATTGAGTGGTGCGCCCCACTCGCACCAAAGAGGGAAAGATCGCGCGCGTTTTAGTGCATAGATGCAGTTGCGATCCAAATTCTAGCAGGGAGCAGAGAGCCCAAACCATGGCTGGCACAAAAGTGCACAAGAGGTGCTCAGCACCCGCTCATGACAGGCAGTTGCTGGGCAAGCTGGTGTAAGGCAAACTACACCTCAAATGCCCGGGCGGAGAGCCCGCCACGCGACAGGCTCAGGCAACATAATGTGATTAGTCGCCGCCTGCAGCAGTAGGTTTGAACGGGCTGCAATTGTTGCTGCCCAAAGCACCACCGCATGTGGCCGTATTCATTCATTGTGGCGTGTGAAACCAAGATGGAAATTGACACGAGCGTGAGCGGAAGATCTGCGACTGCAGAGCAGCCAGCAATTCAACCATGAGTTTGTAATAGGGGTTTGTGCAGGATCTGGGGTGCGAGGCGGACTTTGTCCGGCGTGACTCAAGCGTCCCCCCAAGGCGCACGCAGGGGGGCTTGCATGAGCCGGGAGTGCGGCATCGCACGGGTTATTGAGACGCAAAATCAGAGCAAGCGGGCCATACATCAACATCGGCATGACTTGGGGCGCGCAGCAAGGCTGCACTCGCCTGCACACAGACATTCAATGTGGACTGCGCAGGGTGCCCTGATGCCCGCCGCTGACGGGATCCCGTGGCAGGAGAGCGCCTAGTGCGAGACCCTTGCTGGACTCACATTTTTGGAAAAGGGGAGCGGGAGGTCGCTGTGCGTGTGCGCTGCATACATTCTAGCGAGTGCGTCGCTAGAAGGCAAGGCACAGCACGTACACTTGCAACCCGCACGGCAGGGCGCTAAAGGAAATCCAGGCGGAGCCAGTCGTCCCCGACCTTCCTGCTTGGCCGTTTGGGTTGGATCCCGCATCAGTCCAACCGATGCATGTGTTCGCAAGGCCAGTTGCTGTGGAGACAGAGCCGTCCGCGTTGCTGCCAGTCCACCAAGTGCTCGCGAACGGCAGCACCCCCGCGGCGTCCAAGGAGACAGGGATGGAGCCGCGCAGCAGGGTCGAGAAGTTGCTCGCCAGGACCTGGCCGCTTGCGGTCTGGATCGGCAGGCCGGTGGGGACCCCGTAGAGTGTCGGGAAGTCCGCGATCTGGTCGGTGGCGCTGACAGACAGGAACGCGCGCACCCGCACGAGGCCGGCCGGCTGGCCGGTGGAGGTCGGGGCGACGCACTTGGCGTCGGCGCCGGAGCGGCCGCCCAGGTTGGCTGTGAACGTCGTCGTGGAGGACGCGGAGTAAAGGACAATCCGCGCGCGCAGGTACTGCGCGGCAGGCACGCCGTTGAGCGTGGCCGCGTCGATGCTGCTCAGGGCGCTTAATGTGACCAGGCCGGTCACGTTGATGGTGGGCAGGTTGGCAGCCAGGGTGGCGATGCTGGCGTTGACTGACGCGATGGCAGCTGAGCCCGTGGCGACCGCGGCCTTCGCGGACTCCGCGGTCGCGTTAACCGACGAGATGGCCGCCACGCCCGCAGCTTGGGCGGACTGGACGGCCGCCGTGGTGGCGTTGACGACCGCAAGCTCCGCGCCGCAGGTGCACTGCTGCGAGGCGGCTTTGACCTCCGCGATGCCCTGGGCCACGGTCTGGTTCGCAGCCGCGAGCGACGCCAGCTGCTGTGCGGTCTGCGCCCTGGTAGCGCTGAGGGCGGCGATCTTCTGGGTGATGTCGCTGGTGTTGGCGGCACCAGCCAGCTGCTGCTGCTGCACACTGGCAACCTGCGCCGCCAGCGCAGCCACTGCCGCCCTCAGCGCGTTCACTCCGGCACTCAGCTCGGCCGTCTGGTTCTGCCCCTGCGCCAGGGTGGCCTGCGAGGAGCTTGCCTGGGCGGCGGCGGCGGCGACCCGCGGCTCGAGTGCTGCCAGGCCGCTGGACAGCTTGTCAACCTGGGCGGCCGTGGCCACGCCGCACCCGTAGTGAAGCTTGGAGGGGTCCTGCAAGGGAATAAGACAAAGCACCAGCAACATTCATCATGTGTACGCATACATCGGCTGCAGGTGAGGCAATAAGGCAGGGGCGACGCAAGTTTGGTGCTGTGCTTGACCTGCTTCATGGGAGCTGGATTGCAGCCACTGATCAGCACAGCGCACGCAGATAAAACCCATCACATACGGTAGTTCAACATGCGTGGTGCGAACGCCCGCCAAGTGTGGGCGCCCCGCCTTGCGCGGTGCGCGCGGAAGCACTGGCGTTGGTGCTGCTGGCGCGCACCTTGCTGTCAGCCGTTGCCTTGGCGGGTGCCAGTAGCTCGCTGCACAGCTGGTCCATGAGGGCCGTCGGGCCAGCCTTGGAGGAGCACGACTTGGTCAGGGCCTTGACGGGTGCGCACTGCGCAGATGGAAGCGCGCGTGCAGCGATCAGGGGCCGCTCATGGGTGTGTTGTCCTCTTGTGCGCGTGCGGCATTCACTCGTCCTCGTTGGCCACTTTGACTGGTGAACATGCTCGCAATGACCGCCGCGCATTGCATGGTGGGCTCCGGGCTCGGCGAGGCTGTCAAATCATTAGTCATGACGCGCGACCGGCGCGCGCAATCCTGGCCAACGCTCACCACCGCCAGTTTGGTCTTGTTCTTGGCTGAAGCTGCCTGCAAGCTGCGAGAGTTGTGCCAGAGGCGTGGGGCGGGAGGACAGCGGGGGTAAGCAACGGTGAAGATTGACAGGCAAGGGTTTGATCCCCTGGCCTTGGTTTCTCACTGGGGCGGCGCAGCCTGCTGCATGAAAGGGGCTGTCCTCGAATGCAGCGCATTCACGGCCTTGGCGCTCTTTCCTGGTTCCCCTGGACCTGTGTACAGCACCCTGCACGTGTGCAGGCACGAGGGCCCCCACACCCCCATGTGCGTGCCGCCTGCACCTGCTGGTGGCGCCCATCGCCTGAAACGGCACGTAAGTCAGCAATAGTCCCACGGCCACCAGCACCACCGTGTTCCTCGTGCACGACATGGTACGTAGAGGATGGCGTGAACACTTGACACCCGGCAGCGCGTGCACAGAAGCGTCGTCAAGAATATATGTCCTGTGATATATTAAATTTGTTACGCAGTCGTCGCTGTCGGTCAGTATAACGAGGAGGTCAACAGCCCAATCGAACCTGTCGATGAGTAAATGAGTAGATGATGCGCGTGTGTGGTTCCGCCGCTGGATCAGCTGTGC